TATATATAATTATATGCCCGCCTGTGAGCTCACATCCCTACAGTCTCCCACTTATGTCATCAGGTACGTCCAGGGGACCTTCCTGGGCAGCCAGCTGACCAACAAAGCCGGCACCTACTTCGTGGTCCTCACACAGAACGGCCGCACAAACGACGGTTGTGACGCCAGCTCTCTGGGCAACATTGCTCGCGGCGCCGCGCTGATGGACGCCAATAATCCATTCACACAGGTACGTGCTTGGGATAAAGAAAGACACAAAGGAGAAATGAATATAGAAATCACTTTTGACCACCGACAAACATTTTGGCAAACCAACCAACCAACCAATCAGCCTTCCAATCCATCCATCCATCCATCCATCCATCCATCCATCCATCCATCCATCCATCCATCCATCCATCCATCCATCATTCAATCGATCAATCAATCAATCAATCAATCAATCAATCAATCAATCAATCAATCAATCAATCAATCAATCAATCAATCAATCAATCAATCGAAGTAGTTCTTCTGATCTTATATAACTTACAGACACCAACATCCTTGCCTATATATCCACAAATGTTTGGTGGAGTGGGGACAAGAGTACTGCTGACCTTCATAACGTATAGACACCAACACCATTTGTCTATTACTTACTTGATTACTTGATCCTGGGAACAACATCCTAGCACTACGGACACTGTCTTACGTGCTCCGATCCCCGCTTCAATATCCACCCCAGAGTCCATCTGCTGATTGTTCCGGTGTTCCGTTATTTCTCTCAGTCTATATCCTGACAATAAAACCTATACATAAATATCGTCTGTCTATATCTCAACAGATGCTTGGCGGAGGAGGGACTGGGGTACTCCCTAACAAGCTTCTGATGGGCTCCCAGGGCCCGACTGTGTTTGCCTCCACGCTAGATGGCGTGTCGAGACGTCAGCTGGCGGGGGCAGGCCTCGCTGCTTGCCAGTACATCAACAACGGATACTGCAGTGGGTGAGTTACTAATGCCAAAACACCGCCGACATATATTTATGGACGTAGAGGATACAATCATCCGATCAGCAGACAAATCGCCACTCAAGAATTACAAAGTTTTACCTATCTGCTCAGTACCTAGTTTTGGAAATATTGACGTAAACATGTCAAGATTTTTCGAATGCAACTCTTTGAATATCTTGATAACGTCTCCGATTAATCTTACGATTGGTTTTGATAGAGGAGGTAGAACATAATGATATGGTTTCTGACCCCATGGTCTTAGTAGCTCAAAATGACCAAAAATGTCAGATAGAACCTTGTAATTCTGAGGTAGCGCAATGGCATGATTACTGCACACTTCAAACCATCACACACACACACACACACACACACACACACACACACATCAGAATAATGAGTTTGCATTATATTACGTAGTATTCGTGTCGTAACCTTCTTGAAAGATTCAGATAAGGAGAGTCGAATTGAAAAGTGTGTATGAATGGCGAAGTTTTACTTCTTTTTTTTTTTTAAAGTACCCCAAAACAGCTCGTCTTCAAGTGCTGACCGATGGCCAAAATGCACGATCTCTTAGAATTAAATCAGTCTGAGAGACCGTTGTTGGGATAGCGTAAAATTGTATTTTAACGTCTGGGTGACCCACATGTGGCCTGCAGAAAGTGAGACCAAGGATGTGCTTAATAGGTCAAGAAAGTTCCAACCTGGGGGTTTAAGCAGACTTTTACCTCTAAACATTTTTTTTAGATAGAATTCGTAACAGCTGGCATACTTCATCTTATGTTATGTTATGTTATGTTATGTTATGTTATGTTATGTTATGTTATGTTATGTT